CGCTACACCATTGTATGTATGTGAATATTTATCGCTATTGTCAAAGATATCTTAAGCTATTTTTGTTACACATTTTCGCTTTTTAGAAACAACTATGTACACTGTATAGTTTGTTTATACAGGTTTATTAGTAAAATACTAATAACCTATATATTCCAACTCCTTATATAACAACTTTTGTCCCATGACTTCCAATTATATATAATAATAATTATATTCCAATTATTATATATAGTCTGGCTATGTTGCTAGTATTTTACAAAGAACCCTGTACATACAGAGCTCATGGGTAACAGAGTAACAGACACATACATGTTATGTCTGTGGTAACAGATATAGGGTGGTATTCCAGAACTCCACTCAATGCTCAAGTCAGGACTTGAGCATGATTTCAAGCACTGGAAATACAACCCTAGTGGCAAGGACTTAAGTATGATTTCTAGTGCTTTAAATCATACTCAAGTCCTGACTTGAGCATTGAGTAGTGTTCTGAAATACGACCCATAGTGCCCTTCTGAAAATCTGCAACAAGCATATAGAAAAATTCTCGAGGTCTGGTGGTTTGTTCCGTAGCTCAGGTGGGAGAGCGTCTGACACAGTATCCTTGAAGACGCAGGTTCGAATTCGGTCGGATTGAAAGAATTTTTCTTAGTGTACGATCTTTGTATTAATACTTACAAAGTTATAATAAAATAGAATATTTAAATAAAATATTTATAATTTGATTTTCTACGTCTCTGTCTGTTTCTTTGGTCTGTGGTTTTAATGATTATAGCTTACATCCTGAAACGCTGATAAGTTTATGCTAAAAGTATTCTTGTAAGCATGAAACGAATAGCCCCAAAAAATTGGCGCCAATTTTTTTATATCTCTCTAGAGTTTGTAATTGTGATTCGAGTTAAAATTAATCGACTAAACGGTATTAAAAAAATTACACATTCAGCTTTATTAGTTTACAAGACATTCATGACAATCAGTATATTCTAAAATTAACAACCTTCTGCGCCAGCATCAAGTAGTGAAAGAGATAAAGCTCTAGAACCATCAGTTAGTTAGACATTAATTACCTGTATTGAGTCTTTAACTTTGGTATATATTACTGAACTTGAACGAGACTCCATCACATTATATACAGTTACATTATATAACTGATGACAGTAAAATCGCTACATCCAATGAAAATTACGCCAACTTCATTTTTTGGTCCTGTTCTGTTTTTAATATAAACAACCTTATTTTATGACTAATAAATTTGTTAAAAAAAATAAAGAAACAAAAACAAAATTCGAAAAAAAAAAATTGGTTAAAAGTAAAATTGAAAAAAGAACAAAATAAAACAAAAAATTAAATTGGCGCGTTGGAGGTATCGAAATATTCATCAAAATTTTTATTAACACAAGTATTAATCAAAATTGCTATTTCTGGAAGTCCAGTAATATAAAATAATACGAGAATGATTAGTAGCAGGATGTGTGTTCACATTCACATTCAGACTCCATTAAACGTTTTATTTTTTAAAACACATCGAACATTAAAATCGTCTTAATGTTTTGGGTTCTAGATACCACGAGTACGCAACGGCACCGCTCTATTTACGTCACATAAGAAAAAAGAAGCAGGCGCTTAAGTTACCTACTCAGACTGTGACACGTTAATTATTTTCGTTAAATTTGTTAATTTCTGCTGTAAGTATTTATTGAGAAAAGCGTGGTGAGAAAGGCTTAGTATTTGTGGAAAGTAAGTACCTTTTCGATATTTCACTTGTGTAGCGCGATAACGACAAAATAAGTTTTACGTTAGCTACTCCCAACAAATTTTGCAAACCGGTCTAAATCCATTTTTCTTCACGGTATCCAAAAAATTATGTGAAATATGAGGCGAAAGCATGAAATGTACTTTTAATCTTATATTTTAATTTCTAGACTTACACTAAAAGCGACTACGCAACACGTGGTAATCAATAGAATTCAACGTCTATTGTTATGGATGTCCGTTATTTTATTTCTTATTTGCTCGGGACTTAGCTCCCATTTTTGTGCAATTTCCTGGATATTTGCCTACATTCCCCTTTCATTAATACGATGCAATGCAAGTACGTCGTAGGTACGTAACTGCAGTTCCTTGTTACGCGGTATGGTGATGAATTTTTAGTGTAGGTATATTGTAAACTAATATCTTCAAATCATATTGTTATTACTTGCTAACGAGAGACAGCACTAAATGAGAGTTGTAATTGTAAACTTATTTTTTATTGAAATTAGGGTACATGTGAATATAAGTAATGGAACATTCCAGATGGCAGAAGTCACAGAAGCGAATGCATCATCCCTGACGGAGCTGCTGGCTGCGGGTAGGCGACACCTTGCTGTTAGAGACTGGAGCTCTGCTGTGGAGACTTTAGCTAAGGCTTGTGAACAACTGGCTAAGGAGCATGGTGACTTGGCTGACCAGTGTGCTGAACCCTACCTGTGGTAAGATGTCTTATATGACAGTTCAACTTGTCATAGTTTTGCGGGACCATATGACAAAGATTTCATTAGCTGAAACCTAAATTTCACTTCCTCAACATTTGCATGGTTTGGTATAATGGGCTGGTGTCTGCAATTCAACATCCAAGTGCCTATTTTCATATGTGGTGGGTGCAGAGTCCTACTTGTGTCATCGTAGCTCCTCTGAGAACCTTAATACCTTACTGGGTTTATGGAAGATCTCTGGGAGTGACCTAAGCACTCTAAGGTACTTCACCCTGTAGTTGGTCATGCTGGACCATTGCAGTAGGATGTGTGTGCCTGTTTCCTACCCCTCGTCTTACAGACTCTCTCCATAGAGGTCTGCTGTGTTTACTAGATTGAAAAAGCATTCATTATATTATGTAATACTGTTAGTACAGTGGAAAAGATTTTGCTAAATCCATCTTTTCACAAAATAACAACTCTACTAAGTGCCAGTAAATCAGCATGATACCACTTTCAGTGACACAACAATAAGCTGAGTGGATGATGCATTTTATAACAGTAGAGTGCTTAATAAAATTATGTTATTTGTTTAATAAGTATTTACTTAAACAAGTTATTTATTGTTATTATTTATTAACTTGTACTATAATGGGGCGTTGTGCTTTCAGCTGACAAAAGTATACAGCTTGGTGTGCTGTTGATTGTACATGGTGACATATAGCCCCTGTCTTGGTCCTTTTTGCTGATTGGGTTTTGTACAGTTTCCATAGAAAAGACAGCAATTACTGTTCATGCTAGCAGTGCTATCCATGTGCATCATGAGATCAATTCTTAAAATATAATCTTACATGATAGCAAATTATTAGTACTAAATTGTCGACATCGTTTCTTTTTCAATTTAATATTTTATTCACTTAGGTATGGGAAATCGTTGCTTGGTCTGTCCAGAGAAGAAAGTGGTGTTTTAGGAGATGGTGTGCCTGGTGCTAACAATGAAGATGATGATGAAGGTACTTATCTAATGTTGTTCTGTTACTATCTTTTTTCTATGTCATTCTAGCTCAAATTCATTTATTCCAAAATTTACAAAATGCATTTATGAACAATATGTCATTCTTACATCTCAGTGTGTGAATTGTGTGTCTGCTGATAGATTTACAGATCTTACACACAATGACTGATAAATGTCCCACATTGTGTTACCACATTTAGTAACGCAAAATTGGATTGAGCCAATCTGAAAAAGCTTTTATGTCCATGCAATAAGAGGGAATAAGGTATATGTTTCACTTCCGCTCGGACTACCCCGACAAGAAAGGCAACTCTTACTCTCTTAATCTCCCTTAGGAATAGACAGCAACACATCGACGGATCTTGCTATGTTGCACTGGAGGCTATAATTGGACAGAAGTGTATAACTTGATGTGCTCTAATAAGTAAAGTGATTCAGACCCAGAAAATGTCATTCCTATGTTCATGTCTTGTTTTCCTTTTTTTTTATAATATCAAGTGACGACACGAACAAGTTGTGCCTGATGGTAAGCTACACGACTGTCTATAACAGTTGCAGTGCCACTCAGCTCTTTAACTCGCAAAGATCTGAGGCGCACTGCACCTGCGCCCGTCACCCTGAGACATAAGTTGACAAGTCCCTTGTGCTTGTAATTTCGTCAGCACCCTTACCCTTCAAACCGGAACACACTAATGCTGACATTACTGCTTGTTATAAATGTGAAGTAAAAAAAATTAAAACAGGGTTGAGATGACATGTAGTCTATCTAAAATATAGGCATTTGTAGGCTTTCATGTTTATATTCAACCAGCTTAGTATGAAAAAGTGTACTTATACAGTCATGCAAAATTTATTTATTACTTAACATACACATTATACAACATATTATTTTATTTTCAACATTGTCATGATTTAATATGTTTTCTAACAGACCAAGAAGAGAATGGTGAAAATGAAAATGGAGAAGCAGAAGAGAATGAAGAAAACAAAGAGGTCAAGGAAACCAAAGACAATGACGAAGAAATTGCTGAAGAGAATGGAGAAACTGAAAAGAATGAGCCAAAGTCCACCACAGCAGATGCTGAACCCAGCAAAAGCAAAGCTGATGATGATGATGTTGAACCTGTGAATATTTACAAATTATCTTTAATTTTTTTTTTAATTTCTGAGAAAGGCATCCCTTACCTTAGCTCTTCCACTCTCTTTCAGTCTCAATTTTTACCTCCAGGCCCTCTTTATGAAATTAGCACCAATTCTAGATTTTCAGGCTATCAAAGTTGATGTTTAAACCTTTTATGTGTTGCTACAGGGTCCATCAAACAGCAATGATGAGTCCGTGATGGAGAATGAAGATGATGTAGACAACTTGCAGTTGGCTTGGGAGATGCTTGGTAAGTGTTTAAGGTAGCCAATACTTTTGCTCTAGTACAGTAGTGTATAACCAGAATATGTAATCCATAATGCTATTAAAATTATTACATTATAGATTCGTAAAGGTGATCTTTCTATAGTATGTACCTAATTAATTATTATTTTGCTTTATTATTATTATTAGTTAATAGAAGTAAATAGAAATGCTACACTATTGTATTGGAATCGTCCTGTAAATATATATTGTACGAAATAAATAAGATGTTTGCAGAAATGGTAATTCATTATTGCAATAATAAGAAAGCGTCGTAAGTTACAATTTTGCATAGTATATATCAAGAATGAAAAATTCTAATTATGTTATTGTCCTTTACCACCTTGTGTTTTGTTAAATAGTCTATCACTCAAGTGACTTTTTGTTTTACATATGTATGCAGTAGGAATATGGGAAAGTCAAGTATATGTCTATTCAGAGAAATCTGATGACTGTTTGTTTTGTTGAAATGTCTTTTTTGTTAAACTGTTTAACAGCGGCATTCGTCAAGAAAAATCTAAATATGGTTTATTTCACGATGCCATGGTATATATTTATGAATAAACGAGCGGAATGAGTGTTGTTAAAGCGAGATGTGTTGTCGCCGAGTCTGAGCGCTTCGTTTGTGGCCCCGCAGACCTGTCGCGCAACATCCTGGCGCGGCGCGCGGCGCAGGGCGGCGACGCTGCGCGTGCGCTGCTCGCCGACGTGCACCTCGCGCTCGGCGAGGTCGCCCTCGAGAGTGAGACCTATGACAAGGCGGTGCTTGACATGCGTTAGTATTCTACCCTCGTTCACTTGCCCGTCTCGAATTCACTTACTGATTTATTTGCTATATTGAAAGTAGGTGCAATAACAAAATCACTCTTAATTAATTTCCATTGTTTACTACCATATTACTACTTGGAGAGAATATACATTGGTTGACTTATTACTACTATCGCAAACAATCTGGGCGCCAGAGTGTCTTTGTCATAGGAATTTAAAGAAATTAGCATTATAAATAATACAGTGATCGAATACTTAGAAATAATTCCTTCAATCCGGTTGGCATAGCGTTTGCCACGGTTTGCTGGAAGACGGTTCGAATTTGTATTAGATATTGTTTTCTCAAACATGCTTGGGAGTATTAGGAAAAATGGCGGGCTTTTGAAGGTTACAAAGGTTATTTTTATTTTAAGTATATTATGAAGAAAAAATAAGAAAGAAATAGTGATAAAGAAAGTTAGAACTATAATTCTTTATTTTAAACCAAATTACAAAAGACTATCCTAAAAATTACAATAATTAAGAATCAAAGTTTTTGTTCAAAGTGATAGAAGATAATGTAATTTAAGTGAAAGTGAAAACATAAATATTGACTCCCGTCGCTTAGAACTATTTAAAAACCCAAATAAGTAAACTAAGTTATTTAAGAGAAAGTGAAAACTTGATGTATCAGAACCACAATGAAGAATAAATATTACTGAGGATTCCGATAACTAAACGAAGACATGGCTCAAAGGACTATCCAAGCCAAAACTCTTAATAAAAAAAAACATGCTCGGAAATGTTTGCATTACTTTCAAAAAACGAACACAGAAAGTTTGTCATTTATGGACCATGCGACTTCTTCCCAGCCAAGGCCTGCAAAGTAAGTATGAAAATCCATTACTGTCCTCTTGTCTAAACTTTTAAATCTACCGAATAATAATAATACATGTAAACAGGCAAAAGAAAGACTCATACAACCAACTTCCCAGTGTTCAAAATAGCGACAATTAAAAATACCTACCTGTACTGGTCACTTAAAAAAAAGAAAATGGCGGTAACATTTAAAGTGTTTTTGTATTCTTTTGTTTTTTCGTCTTTCTTGTGTTTTGGTCGCGGAAATGAGTGCTAGTGAGAAGAGCAACTACGAAAATACAGTAATAGATATACATTCAAACACATCATAAGAAGTAACACAAACAATAACATTTTCTTTTAGCAACGTCAAATATTACTTTTAATATTAATGAATATTTTTTTACTTTTTCTATTATACATGTCCTCTCTTTACTCTTTTATTATTTCCTCACATTGTTTGAGAAAAATTCAATACATGCCTCGGCGGGAACGGGGATTGCTTGACTCGTATTAATACAAGGTCTCGCTGTCGCTCGTCCTTGTAACTCATACTCGTCCAACAATCTCTTACTTCCCGGCCTCTCCAATAATGTACTATATAATAATATGGCAATGTAATATTGTATTAATAATTTTAGTCAAACTAGTGGAGTAATTTCACAAATAGTTGAATATCGTGGTAGTCAAACATCGTGGCATTCCATAAGCTTAAAAATTAATTTTACATTCTTATACTAGCGTCACAGCATATTTATCAAATTTTTATTTATGTTAAGAATAGTATTTTTTAATGAAAAATAGTTATAATAATAACGTTAGTATTAGGTATAAATATAAACTGGCTGATCTTGGCAGTCTTCTTCATAAAGCCACAAACTCATCTAAGGGGCAACGTACGCAATATAAGCTTCTTTAATAAAATTTCGGTTGATATTCAAAATTTGCCCTTTACGAGGAGTAAAACTATAGTGACTATACTAAAAAATACACTAAAGATACAGGTTCTGTGTACTTGGAGATTTTCTCGATCTATGTATGTTATTTAAAATAAATGATAAATGAGCACAAATGTTTATTTACAAGGGCAAACCCCTAGAGTTTCTTACTTATTCTTCTCAGGGGAATCTGCCTTACGAATAAGTAGTATAGTTTAATGAATGGTATGATTTCACGAATAATTAGCTTACCTATGCAATGAAGACCATTTCAGTTTAGCAAGACCGATCGTACGTGGCACATCGAGTGAACTGGCAACTGGTACTATCTCAATTTTGACAACTTTACAGGATGAAAAAAAACTTGTTTGCGTCATTTATATAGCATCTGGTTTATTAACCCTCTGCGACTGAGGTGAATTATTTATAAACATTCTACTGAGGAGTAGTCTGACGGACGTACATTATCTTTGCCATTAATGCATAGTTTTTCGGAATCGTTTGTCTTAAAAATATACATATACAGTCATTGAAATGTAATAAGTCCATTCTTGTATAAAAAGTGTTATTAACATACGTGTTTATAAGAAAAAATATTTATTATTAATTTTAGTTAGATCAAGGCACTTAAAGGCCGTAGTCATGTTGGAAATTTTCTATAAAAAAATATTTAAAAAATTTACAACGTTAACTTAAATTTGCAGTTTTCCGGCTTAAAATAAAATAATATAAAAAAAAATTTGGAAAATCGTTAGAGTAGTTTTTCTCTCAATCAGCTTTAAAGTTCAGACTTACAATTTTAGCAAATTTGCACCACGCACTTAAGACAAATTGGTTTTTTGCAAAAATAACAAGAAAATTTCGTTTACTGCTTCAATCTGCTTGGACAATGGACATACACGGCATTACTTCCCTCTAGATGATGGCTTAGGTGCTGTTGGTGGTCTTGGAGCAGAGTAAATGATGATGTCTTACTGAGGTGACGGCTATGGAGGTGACTATGAGAATAATTCTTTTGCTGACATGACATCTAATAGACAGTACGAAGATAATTATTTTACTGACCGGTCGTCTAAGAGACAGTATGACAATATAATTATTTTACTGACTTTACGTCTCGTAGACACCTAGCATTCGTAACTCCTTAAGTATAATTGCCGTGGCGGCTCTACCTGCACTGATCGGTAGCGGATACCGACACAGGAAGGTACTGAGCGAGACAACATTATCCAACGAAACTGAAAGCAATTAATTAATTAATTATTATGAAAAAAGATATATTTTAGTTTTATCAGATATAGTTTAAATTTATCCTGTCAAAAATAATATTTTTCGAAAATTTGGACGCTATTATGGAGGGTGCCATATGTTTCTTAAGTATCTTAAAAGTACAAAGTTTCGGGCATCTCTTTATTTAAACACAAAAAGGCAACATTATATTTAAAATTAATAGTATCTTTCAATCAACATTCTACAAATTAATGACAAAGAACCTAGAAATGTGTCGATTTGCAAGATAATGTAAATACCACTGACAGCTACAAAAGCAAGGTTTCATGGGTATAGCTACTCTTTTCTTACAAACTTGTTGCGCAACTTGCCGCACTAGGGAAACCCTGTGTCGCGGGTGCCGTTCACAAATTACACCCAAACTCACTAGAGAAATAAATGTAGGCCATATAAATATTTCTCCCGGCCCGGAAACGAACCCGGGACCTGAGACCTCTGCGTGGCAGTCCGGCATGGTAACCGTTCGGCCACGAAGCCAGTTCTAATAGTATCAAACCAGTAATGAACCTTTTTGAAAATTTGTAACATAGTGTAATTATAAAGTAATTATTTTTTTTACAGAGAGCTGTTTGGAGATACAGAAGGAGCTTTATCGCAGTGACGACAGACGCATTGCAGAGACGCACTACCAAATTGGTATGTGATTCTATCATTCTTTACCATAGCTGCTTGCGACATCTTTTGAGTGATGTGGTGTCGGTGTTTTGTAGAAAAACTTTTCAGGGGAACATGTTTTTCACGAGTTAGTTTTTCACGATCGTTTTAAAATATATGTATCCGACCCTGTGATGATGATTCAAGTGAAGCAAGTTCGGTCGTTTATTGCATGAGCGTAACCGGCATTCAGTCGATAGTCGAGAGAATATTTATCTACTGCATACTAGCTGCGTACACGTGGGCAATGTTTTAAGCGTTTTGAACTGATGAACTGTCATTTTACTCTATCTTCAAAAAAGACAGACTTTATTATATCCTTTATGTCGCAGGCATAAAGGATAATGTCTGTTTCATAAAAGGGCAATGGATAATAATATTCATCGTGTTTTCAACTTACATATGAAAAAACATGCTTATAATTATTAATACAAATATCGAACACTCAGAAAAAATTCCTTCGTTCCGTGCTTATCTTTAATATATATTTCACACAGGTCTGGCTAACTCCCTTGCGTCAAACTTTGAAGACGCGATAACACACTTCAAGAACGCAGCGAACATTTTAGAAAGTCGAATTAGAACCTTGGAGAACCCAACAGCTGCCTCTCTAGACGCTACAGTCAAGAAATTCACCACTGCAGACCCGTTCTACTCCATTGAAAGTGAAATCAAGGAGTTGAAGGAACTCTTACCTGAAATCCAGGAGAAAATACAAGACATGATGGATTATAAAGCTGAGGTAAGGCCCTGCGACTGTGTGGAAGAAACTAGAAAAATGCTTAGAGATATGATGGTTAGGGAGAAGAACAGATGCGTTGTTGAATGTCAGGGTTAGACTGATTTTTTACTCTTTGTAACTGATGTTCATTTATTCCAGTGCAAACATTATTTTTGTTTTGTAGTAGGCAATAATTGACGAAACGAATACATTTAGCAATCGTCATAAAAATGTGCGTGCTTTGTCTCATTAGATAGAATGTTCCTCAAATTAGTGCAAAACAGAGATGGGCATCGGGTTAAAACCCAATCGATCCGCCTGGGGTTATACCCAAAGCGCCGGTTTTAATCCATTTCTGCCCAAAATCGTAGAATACGGAATTTGGTATAATTCCATACTACAAGTTTTGATGTATAAAATCTTTTTTTATACGAAAAAGAGGCGAGGCAGAGGCAATCTATAAGTGCATCTGAAAATTTTTCGTAAAGATTTATTTCAATGTGATTTTCTAGCGAATCGATTCAATAGACAGGCAAAACGATTCGTCTATTTAGATAAAAAAGCAATAAATATTTTGTAATAATATCAATAAATTTGAACAAAACTCGATTTACAACAAATGTTTAGTTGTAATTCGTTTTTGCCTTGGATTTCGGGCGTTAATGTGTTTTAACCTAATTTAAACCCGGCATTAACAAAGCGTCGCGTCCAAACCCGGACGCTTGTCCGTCTCTGGTGCCAAATTAGTTCCACTAATTTTATTGTGATAATTTTTGAAAACTGATAAAAAAAGACTGTAATCAGTATTAATCGTTTTAATCGTAATTTACTAGTGCCTTTTAAATCTCAGCATTTTTTAATACTCATTAGTTTTTAAGCATTTTTATATTGTATTCTGTAGACATTAGTGAAACCACGAGGCCATTTTTGTATTGTCTTGTATTTTTTGAAATAAAGTTGTATGGAAATGTATTTGTTGTATTATTTTTTAATTTAATCCAATACATGAACGGCCATGTGGTTGGCTTATTGTCTCTGTAGTATCATGGCCTTTTATGTTTATTGCCGATATTTGCCAAAGTTTCGTAGGCAACCCTTGCATCTTGTATTGCAGAATCAGCAGCACTTGAGTTGCAGGCACTCATTCGGCGTGAACTATATTCTAAGTATTATACCTACAATAAATATTGTACATTCAGTACTATTATGAATTTTTGAATAGTAAATGTGGTGATACAGGTCGCAGGGTCGAATCCGGGTTTGCACCTATGAGGTTCTCGGAATTTATGTGCGAAATTTAATTTTTAAAATTACCATGAGCTTTTCGGTGAAGGAAAACATCGTTATGAAACCTGCATTTAGAAGGTTCACAACAAGCCTCGCCTGAGAGGATACCCGTGCCCGCCAGTGGGACATCTAAAAGGGTTGATGATGATGTGAAATGTGGTGGCAAGTGTTTCCTGTGTAAAGTATATTTCTTCAGCTAGGACTCTGCTGAATAATTAGATATCGCGTTTTGAATTGACAGCCTGCGACCACCTATGAAACTAGCTGATTTGGGCATATAATTATTTCCTTCCCTTATTTCAGCATAACGGTCGAATTTTTTGAATTTGACTAGTCAAGTTACAAAGTTATCAATTTTATAGTCAGTTCTAATTGTTCTGCGGTTCTAATCCATAGAAGAAAAAAACAATGAAGTGTCATAAGCCTCGATTACTACCGGAACCGATGTCGCCAAATGCGTTTTGGTGACATCGGTTGGTCGACACAGACGATGATAAACACTATGAAATCTTCATAATCATTGGTCATAAGTTTCTAATTTAAAAAGATGTAACAAGTTCTGGATTGTTAATATAATTTAAACTTTACCCAGTCGCTATCTCGTTGAAAGTTCAATACATTTATTGCAAGTTACGACGTTTGGTGTTTATATTGAAATTTTATTCAACATGCTGCCATCTTGCGGCCAGTAGTAGAACTACGACGAACGATTAACATCTAATAGATTGTTTGAAAATTGAAAATTTATTAAAATAAGTGCAGCTATCATTTTTGCACTCCAAAATAGCACAATAAGGCATTTTTCTACGGTTTTAGACACGATTTTTTTACAAAAGCGAAAATGGCGAACTGAGCTCAAATAGGTCTTTCCAGACCTATAATTGGCACGCGTCTGACGCTAACTAGCCACTTCTACTGTATTTATTGGTCTGTGGTTCAAATCGTATGAAACTAGAGATTTAGTCAGTCCGCCGTTACAAACCTATAGGAGTGCTTTACTATCCATTCTGGAATAAGCTTCTGCCAGTGACGCCATTCTTCAATTTTGAGAACCACAGCTGGAATAAGGCACGCCACAGAGTTTTTTAATTATACATGCTAAAAGGTGATATTGTACAGCAATTCGAGTCAGTAGACAAAATTGAAATGCATGCCGACGATGATTTAACCTATTTTTGTCATAATTTTTAAGTTATATTAAATTGATAATTAACAATAGCTTCTTCCTCGTTGATCCGAATGTGGTGACTGCTTTAATTCTGTATCTATCTCGTATTTGTTTATTTTAAAAACGAATGTTTAAAAAAGTTTCCAACGATTTTAGTACTGTAAAGTCCTAGGCCACTCGGTGGTGTCCCTAGCGTGCATCTGTGTTTTCATCCACCATAATTAAAAAAAATTGAATTGACAAAAAGTATATATTTATTTTTAAAAGAAAATAATACCAAAATCGTTAAGGACATCGTGTGTCTCTAGGACGTGTGTCGGTTAACTAGCTGGTGTCCGCGACTTCATTTGCGTAGAACTTTTTGCGTACTACTTCGAGTAGCCTACTATATTATTTACTTGACAAATTATTGATTCTCCATACAAACTCATCCCCTATTTCTCAGCCCTTTTAAGATTTATTTTTGTGACAAAAAGTAGTTAATGTCCTTCTCCTAGTTACTATTTATCTCTATACTAAAATTCATCAAATTTGGTTCAGCGGCTTAAGTGTAAAAACGTAACAGTTACTTTCGCGTTTATAATATTACTTTGGATTTGCAGACTATAAAACGCGTTCGCGAAACGCTTTGCCCTTCGAACGGAGCGTCATCATCTAACGGCGCATCATCATCAAACGGTGCCAGCAGCAGCAGCAGCACAGAACAGAAACCTGTGTCAAACATCTCACACCTGATCAAGCGAAAACGCAAAGCCAGTGAGACTGAAGAAACACCCGCTAAGAAACCTGCTACGTGAATTTTGCGTTTATAACTTTAGGTGAACTGCATAGGCTGAGTTGAATTTTCTTTGTGCCTAATGTTGTGTATTATTTATGCAGTTGTTTGTATGATATGAACCACGGAAGAAAAAAAAACAATGGAAGTGCCATAAGCCTCGATTACAATCAGAACCGATGTCGCCAAAACTCACACATTCTAAAACTAAAATTTAAAACACTACAAAATCTTGATATTGGTTGGTCGTATAGTCCATTTGTTTAGGTACATAACTGAATGTAAACAATCTTGAGACATCTTTTTATTTATGCGTATACTTTACAAATCAATAGGAATTAAAAATAGCCATGCAATTTCACATGAAACTAAGTATTTGTATTTTGTATTTGAAGGTAAGTAAACATAATTTTGTAAATGTATATTTCATTAAACGGACATCTCAAAATTGTTTACATTTAGTTAAATACCTA